TAACTAAATTCCCAGTTTAATGACTGTTTATTGTTTAACTAAATTCTCAGTTTAATGACTGTTTATTGTTTAACTAAATTCCCAGTTTAATGACTGTTTATTATTTAACTAACTTCCCAGTTTAACAATTGTTTATTATTTAACTAACTTCCCAGTTTAACAATTGTTTATTGTTTAACTAAATTCTCAGTTTAATGACTGTTTATTGTTTAACTAAATTCCCAGTTTAATGACTGTTTATTATTTAACTAACTTCCCAGTTTAACAATTGTTTATTGTTTAACTAAATTCTCAGTTTAATGACTGTTTATTGTTTAACTAAATTCCCAGTTTAATGACTGTTTATTATTTAACTAACTTCCCAGTTTAACAATTGTTTATTGATTAACTAAATTCTCAGTTTAATGACTGTTTATTGTTTAACTAAATTCCCAGTTTAATGACTGTTTATTATTTAACTAACTTCCCAGTTTAACAATTGTTTATTGTTTAACTAAATTCTCAGTTTAATGACTGTTTATTGTTTAACTAAATTCTCAGTTTAACAACTGTTTATTTTTATTAAATTACAAATGTGACAGCTGTTTACTGTTTAAATCAAACTGTAACGCAGACGAGTGTGTGTTTTGTTTTAATTAGATTGTAGGCTTCAAATTCTAAGCTACAAACTGTTTATTTTAGCCAAATTATAAATTTGATAAATATGTATTGTTTAACTCAATTATAAGCTCTATAAATGTTTATTGTTTAGTCAAACTTTAAGTTAGATAACTGTTTATTAGAATCATATTTAAAAGCTCATTCCTCTTAGTTTGTCAATTCCGGTTTCGGAATCAGATGTTTTATAAAAACAGTATTTGTCTTCTGTGTTTCAGGAGTCATTAACTCAAGATTTATCGTTTTATCAAAACTGGTAATCCAGGCTGGACTCGTGGCATCCAAAAGTGTATATAAAACACGATTTGTATGGAATATAATAAATTTAAGACTGTATATAAAATGCTTATAATGTTTTCACACACCTCTGACTTGAAATTAAGTCGAACGAGAAATAATAATAACCTAGTTTAATTTTAATGACTTTCTTTTAGGCCTAACAAGTCTCACTATACGATTGTTAAAACTGGTTCTAAATTCTCTTTACTATAGTGATAAACACTGTATCAACCCTGTACGAGGAGAATTGCAGCTAACTGGAGATAAGCCTGGAGAAGTGATTTTGAAATATGTTCGATTCAACTCCAGAATCGAGGGTAAGGTTAACAAAGGTTAAGGGTAAGGTTTTAGTTCGTTACCTGATTAGACGAGATTTAATATTTGAACTTAAACAGCATTTCATGTAAACAGTCAAATTAGACTAGCTGACCAAAAAAAAAATGGCAACCAGTGAGAAAACTCGGCTACTCTTAAGTGAATAACAGGATTGAGTGCCACTGTTATAATCCTTGCACAACTGAAATTGTGGAGCGTGTTAATCAACATATCGCGACTTGAAACATAGACTTTCCTATATGCAGCCCGGAATGCTAACCACTAAGCCACGCCCGTCACATGGGTGAATAATTTCAATTGGTTTGATTCAGGATTAGTAAAATAAAATAGGTATCTACTCCTAATATTCACAGATCTTTAACACCAACCATTAAGTTTACTTGAGTTGTTTTGTTTTGAAAGCTACTAGAGGGGAAGGCAGCTAATCAACACAACCCACCGCCACCTCTTGGACTACTCCTTTACCAACGAACAGTGGAATTGACCGTCCCTTTATAACGCCTCCACGACTAAAAGGGCGAGCATGTTCAGTGAGAGATATTCGAACCCGCGACCCTCAGATTGCGAGTCGAGCGCCCTAACCGCTAAGCCTACTACGCCCCAACTATCAAGTCAAGTGTATTTATTTTTATTTTTTTCGTTTACATTTGCATTGTGATAAAACGTTTAACTTCATTTCAAGCGTATTTCTAAAACCGATTGATATTTGTAGGAACGTACAGGCAAAACAAAAACAAAAAAACTGGTTCAACACATGTTTTTGCAGGAAAAGGAATCTCTAAACAGCATTATCAACATTTTTTAACCGTTACTCCCTCTGATGTAGGGTTCGCGAAACGACCTGATAACGTGGAACAGAACACCACCTGCACTTTGTAACTACAAATTATTTTATAATTTTATTTCTTTTTTATATATACAAGATTAACTTCTTAACATGATAAGGTATCTCTCTATACATGCATAGAAACACATACGCACACCTACTGTACTGTGAGACCTACTTTTATCGCTACAATGAGGTCTCTCAGTATGATAAAGTTGAGCCCATTGGACACACGACATCTGGTGGATACAATTCATAAACAAACTATCTGGAAACTTATTTAACACCCTGCGTTTTGGTGGCGTATTAATTAAAATATACATGGTGATTAACTTTATGTAAAAATCATATGATGTGTTATAGATACTTTAAATATTGACGTAGCTTAAATTGGCTATGAAATTACAAGCAGTCATATCATCCCCAGTAGTAGTAGTGTGATGAATGTATTCATTGATCCCAGGATAGAGTGTGTTATAGGATAAAACTTAAGTTATATGTGTATAATAAGGGTATATTGGTGAACGAGTTATTTAATACTAAAAATGAATCATCGCGTGTTTTGTGTGAGAAATAGTCCTTTAAATATTCAAAGATTGAACAGTTTTATTATCAAAACCTAGAGTTTACTAAAAATTCCGTAATTTCATTAGTTTGAATTTTGCGCAAAGCCACAAGAGGGCTATCTGCTTTAGCCGTTTCTAATTTAGCAGTGGGATACTCTTTTTACCAACGAATAGCAAGACTGACTGCCACATTATAACGCCCCCACGGCTGAAAGGGTGAGCATGTTTGGTGAGTTTGTTTGCTTTGAAATTCGCGCAAAGCTACACGAGAGCTATCTGCGCTAGCCGTCCCTAATTTAGCAGTGAAAGACTAGAGGGAAGGCAGCTAGTCATCACCACCCACCGCCAACTCTTGGGCTACTCTTTTACCAACGAATAGTGGAATTGACCGTCACATTATAACGCCCCCATGGCTGAAAGGGCGAGCATGTTTGGTGGGTCGTGGATTCTAACCCGAGCCCCTTAGATTGCGAGTCAAGCGCCTTAACCACCAGGCCATGCCAGGGGCCGTAATTTCATTATTTGCATTTTAATGAAGAATTAAAAGAAATGTTATTTTGCAGATTTTTACGTTTCATATATAACCTTTGAATCATTATTTGCATATTGTATATTTGCATTTTTGTTGGATTTTTACGTATATATATATATATATGTGTGTATATTGTTGCACAAGTTTTATGTGACTTATATTGTTGAAAAGTTATTTCTAATGACCTTAAGTATATTTTTTTAGGATTTGTTTGCATCTTGAACGCCAACGTAATTGCTGCAAAAGCGCCCCTACGCAACAATGACATAACAATAATTATTCCGCTATTGTTTATACACAAAGCGTATATTCGAGATAATCAAACACGACATTTTTATTTTCGTAGGTTATTGTTGAAAACTTGTTGAACTTATATAAATCAAGTCGTCCATTTTTATTTGTTTTAATTATACAAAAATAGATGCACACACGCGCATGTATCTAAACTAAATAAATTCAATATAAGTGTAAAATATACACAAATAATTAAGTTTTTTGTTTGTTTGTTATGGATTTCGCGCAAAGCTACACGAGGGCTATCCGCGCTAGCCGTCCCTAATTTTGCAGTGTAAGACTAGAGGGAAGGCAGCTAGTCACCACCACCCACCGCCAACTCTTGGGCTACTCTTTTACCAACGAATAGTGGGATTGACCGTCACATTATAACGCCCCCACGGCTGAGAGGGCGAGCATGTTTGGTGGGACGGGGATTCGAACCCGCGACCCGCAGATTGCGAGTCGAGCGCCCTAACCACCTGGCCATGCCGGGCCAATAAAGTTTTTATTCTACAGAATCGCAAAAGGTCCTACTAAATATGTCTAAATATAACATTCGTTAATTATCATACGAACATTGTTTTATACGTACCAACACACTTCTCGTGTACGTTTCAACTTTTTGGTTCAGTTACTTCTTCTCAGTGAGTGTAGAAAACTACAGATACAGGGTCTATCTTTTATGGGCCTCCCAGTGGCACAGCGGCTTCTTTGCAGACTTACAATGTTGTAGTGTTTCTTAATGGTTATTAACCCACAAGAAGTTCGATTCATAAATGGTTTATAAATTTTGTTTTTAACTGCAAGCGATCATATGAAACTTATCGTTTACTCTAAGGTTAAAATAATTAAGGGAGTTATTTAATTACAAAATACCTTTCTCTCGATTTCTTTAACAGAAAAATTCCAAGTGATTTATCTTGATGAAACTTGCGAAACGGCTGTTGCCTATGCTTGTTACCGCCACCTGTCGGATGGTAAGGTTTGTGATCCTCGAGCATTGTATGCTGCTATTTTGTCACGCAAAAAATCGTCTCAACTTCCAAGCGGCCTGTCGTTAGTCACCCAGAATCTGTGTATCGATCGTGATTTGATGATTCCTCAGCGTCCTTATAGTAAGAGCTTCGGTTAAATCTTTAGGAAAAATACTCAAAACCCTGTGTAACTTTTCTTCTTCGTTTCAACGTCAATCTTGCTGAAAATATCTGAAAATTCTCATAATTAATAATTAAAAGTGAGCATGATCACAGTAGGTTGAGGCAACGGTTTGTTTTTATGTAGAAATAAAATTTGGTAATTATATTCACATCACAATTTACAGTTGATGAGATTTTTAATAAAAATAAGGGTTAAATAATATAATTTCATAATCCGAATCACGTTGACGCATGTAAGAATAAATAAACTGTAAAGTTTACAGATAATTGTGGTTATATAGATATATCTTTGTTGTATAAATATGTTACAATGTGGTTATATAGATATATATATATATATATTACAGTGTGGTTATATAGATATATATATATATTACAGTGTGGTTATATAGATATCTCTTTGTTGTATAAATATATTACAGTGTGGTTATATAGATATATCTTTGTTCTCTAGATATATATATATATTACAATGTGTTATATAGATATCACTTTGTTCTCTAGATATATATATATATTACAATGTGGTTATATAGATATCTCTTTGTTGTATAAATATATTACAGTGTGGTTATATAGATATATCTTTGTTCTCTAGATATATATATATATATATTACAGTGTGGTTATATAGATATATCTTTGTTCTCTAGATATATAACATATTGTTGTTATATAGATATCACTTTGTTCTCTAGATATATATATATTACAGTGTGGTTATATAGATATCTCTTTGTTGTATAAATATATTACATGTGGTTATATATATATATCTTTGTTCTCTAGATATATAACATATTGTTGTTATATAGATATCACTTTGTTCTCTAGATTTATATTACAATGTGGTTATATATATATATATATATCTTTGTTCTCTAGATTTATAACATATTGTTGTTATATAGATATATCTTTGTTCTCTAGATATGTATTGCAGTGTGATTATTTAGATATTTCATTGTTCTCTAGATATATATATATTACATTGTGGTTATATATATATATCACTTTTTTCTCTAGATATATATATATATTACATTGTTGTTATATAGGTATTTCTTTGTTCTCTTGGTTTGTACATCTGCCGTTTTTTTTTTTGTTTTTGTTTTTCTCTTCAGACTGTGATCTCAACCATTATGAACCAGATGACGAGCTCGACTCCGAACAAGGCTGGGAATCAAGTAATAAAATAAATGAAT